AAATAATAAATTTTCTATTTATCGATCGTTCAGTTTTAATTACACTTTGTACAATTTGATTTTTTTGTTTGTTTTTTTTTTCATAGCTAAAATAGTAAACAAGGAAATACATCAAAATTAAATTATTTTTCATATTATTTATAAATTTCATTTAAATATGGAATAATATAAATTAATTCTATATATAGTAGCACAAAATATTGAAAAATATTCAATACACATGTGTATTTAATATTAAAAAGAGATTTAATGTCTTTTTGAAATGAAAGACAAATGTTTATGAAAAAGGAACTTCTAATATCGATGGAAACATTGTAAAAAAGAAAAGAATAAAATTGATATTATAAAAGAGGAGAAAAAAAAAAAAAACAATCATACATAATGTAGTTACAAAATGTTGTGTCTAACATTGAAATAATTGTTTTTTTATCAAAATTCATTTTTAAATAATAAAGAAATTGTAAAACATCATTTTGCAGCTTTGTATAGAAAACAATTATTTTATTCTATATACAAATATAATAGTATACCAAGACTGTATAAATTAGAATTATACTAATTATTATTTTTATTTTACATGAAGTAACATTTGTTCTTATCTAAGAAAAAAAAAATATATATATATAAAGTGAAAAAGTTACTTACAAATTATTATTATAAATAATATGATTATATTGATCTAATGATAAATATTAAAAAAATAAATAGAGAAAAAAAAAACTACGAATGCATAATTCAAACCCCCCATGAATCCAGAATTTCCAAAGTATTTTCAATTGATTATGTTCCTTTTTATTTTCCTAACAATATATGTGTGGGTTTCGTGAGAAAACGTTCGATTGTATAAAATTACATGATGCTTGTGTTGTTCCTTTTATTTACGTCGAGAAGCCCTTCACAGTGTTGAATTACTTGTAGAAAACGTAACTGCACGATCAAATGTATAGTTACGTATTACAAGTATTGCATCGTCGTTGCGCATACAGAAACCGGCGCACCATGACGAGATTTGGAAAAAGTTCTATTACAAGTTGTAATTGTGTGCTACGAAGGAGAACGTTTTATAGAAAAAAATGTCGATTTTCTTTATTTGACAAAAAAAAAAAGAGAAAAATAATATATATATATATATATATATATATATATATATATATATATATAATTAAAACGACATTTTTAAAAATAGTGGAACATATTGAATAAATGTTTAATTAATATTTTATAATATATTTATAATATAATATTATTAATTTATAATATTTTTTTAAAAATTTAATTAATATTTTATAATATATTTATAATATAACATTATTAATTTATAATATTTGTTTAAAATTTAATTTTTATAATTATAATATTATTAATATATATA